AAATCAATATATAGCATATTGCAATGGGTGAATCTGCTGTCAAGGATTTCTTTAAAGTTTTAAAGAACTATTGAAACACACAACAAGGATAAATCTAAAATAAATTATGAATAACATCAGTCAGTCACACAGAGGCTGTTAGGGAACAATTATAGAAGAAGAAGAATCGATGCTTTGAGTTGTGGTGCTGGAGAAGAGTATTGAACATACCATGGGCTGCTAAGAGAACAAACAGATTTGTGCTGGAGATGGTGAAACCAGGCTGCTCCTTGGAGACAAGGATTTTTAAGCTCTGTCTCACATATTTTGGGCATGTTGTCAGGAGGGACCAGAAGAAAAAACATCATGTTTTGAAGAGTAGAGTGACAGTGCAACCGGAAGACCCAGGATAAGATTAATTTATGCAGTTTCAGGGATAATGGGGTTAGGTCTGTTTGAAGCAATGAAATTGGCACAAGATAGAGCAGGGTTCAAAGCTGTTGTACACAGGGTCACTATGAATTGCAAGCGACTCCATGACACACAACAACAACAAGTAATGGTTTCAACACAGGTTAAATTATTATCAAATCTTTACCAGGAATAAGAACTAATAGAGAGCGGAATAAAAACTAAATGGATAACTTCGCTCAATTTCAGAGGCCTAACAGGAGGAGATTGCCCATCCTTCTGCACAAGTTAGGTCAAGTAAAAGGTAATATACAATAAAGAGTTAATCAAACTTTATAGTTATATCATTATATTAATCCACTGTAATTCATGTTATAAAGCAAAACTGTGTATGAATGGTTGAATAAAAAACCCAATATTATTTTTAGCCTTTCATTCAAATTATAAAACCAATAAATAATAAAGTGCTAAAGAACAATGACATCACTTTAAAAACGAATGTCAGCTTGATCCAAGCTTTCATATTTTCTCATATGCTTGTGAAATTTGAACAATAAATCAGAAAGGAGTAAAAAAAGACTTGAGGCTTTTGAATTGTTGTGTTGTGAACAATACTTCAGTAATCAATGATTTCCAAAAGAACAAACAAATCTATCAGTGTAGAAGTACAGCTAGGATACTCCTTAGAAGTAAAAACAGTGAGACTCTCTCTGCCATTACTTTTAGCATATTAGGAGGTGCCAGTTACTGTAGAAGGACACCATGCTAGGAAATATAGGAGTTCAGTGAAAAAGATGAATACCCTCAATGAGATGAAATGACATTATTGTTGTTGTTGTTATGTACCATCAAGTCACTTGCAACTCATAGCAACCCTATAAACATTACATCTGAAACCTGCCCTATCCTGAGCTGACCTCATTGTATCCAACAGACTGAAGGCCATTACTCTAGTTACTGAGTCAATCCATCTTGGGTCTTCCTTTTCTATGTTGTCCTTTCACACTTCCATGATTATGTTCCTCTCCAAGGACTGGTACCTTCTTGCCACGTACCCAAAGTGTGTAAGACAGAACTTCAAAATTCTTGCCTCCAGGGAGCAACCTGGTTTCATCCTCTCCAGAACAGACCTATTTCTTCTCCTGATAGACCACAGTATGTTCAACACTCTTCTCCAGCACTACAACTCAAAGGCATTGATCTTTCTTTTGCCCTCCTTAGTTATTTACAAATTCTTGGATTCATAGCCTGGATCAGGCACACCTTAGTGTCCAGACTAACATTGTTGCTCTTCAGTACTCAGAGAGGTCCCGGACAGTAGACTATCACCATACAATTCATTTTTTATTTCCTGACTGCTGGTGGAAGAGTGATTGTGGAGCCAAGCAAGCTGAAGTTATCAACAAGCTCAGTCTCTTCTCTGTACATTATGAAGCTGCCAATTGGCCCAGTGGTGCGAACCTTATTTTTTTTTATTAATTTTAATAGACATTTACAGAGATTTTTGGATTTCCATTCATTCAGCGTTCCCCTCTCTGAAAAGAAAAAAA